TATATGCCATTTGGTTTGGTCATTCATTTATTACTGGTTGCTTAGGTTGTTTCCACCATTTGGATATTGTGAATAATGCTGCAATGAGCATTAGTATACATGTGGTTGTTTGAGATGCTACTTTCACATTTTTTGGGTATATACCAAGGATTGAAATAACTTTTTTAGGAACTGCCAAATTGTTTTCCACAGTGACTGCACCACGTTATATCTCACTATCATTGTATGAGTATTCTAATTTATTCTCACTCTTGCCAAGAATTGTTATTTTTAATCTTTTTAATAATAGCCATCTAGTGTGTGAAGTGGTATCTCATTGTAGATTTGATTTGCATTTCTCTAACAGCTAATGAGGTTAAATATCTTTTTATGTGCTTATTGTCCATTTGTATATCTTAGTTACACCATTTGTTGGAGAGATGTTCTTTCTCTTGAGTGGATTTGGTACCCTTGTCATAAATGAATTGGCCATAGATGTGTATGGGTTTATTTCTGGATTCTCAATTCTATTCCATTGGTCCATATGTATATCTTTAAACTAGTACCACACTATTTTGATTACTGTAGTTTCTGAAATCAGAAAGTATGAGTTCTCTTGCTTTGTTATTTTATTTTTTTGTGTGGTTATTTGGGGCTCATTGCAGTTCCATATGAATATGAGGATCATTTTTTCTATTTTTGCAAAAAAACTGTTGGGAATTTAATAGGAATTGCATTGTTTCTATAGATTTTAGTTTAGGTACAATGAACATCTTAACAATATTAAGTCTTCCAATCTGTGAACACAGAATGTATTTCATTTGTTTTGTTGTTGTTATTATGTGCTGTCAAGTCAGACTCGACTCATAGTGACCCCTCCTTGGGTTTCTGAGGCGGAATCACTATGGAAGTAGATTGCCCAACTTTCCTTCTGAGGAGTGGCTGGTGGGTTTGAACTGCCAACCTTCTTCTGGTTAGTAGTCAAGTGCCTTAGGCACTACACTACCAGAGCTCCTTTCATTTGTTTAGGTAACCTTTAATTTCTTTCAGCAGTGCTTTATAGTTTTCAGTGTAAATTTGGTTAAATTTATTTCTAGGTATTTTGTTCTTTTAGGTGCTATTGAAAAAGGAATGATTTCCTTCTCAGGTTGTTCATTGGTAGTGAATAAAAACAACTTATTTCTGTGCCTTTGTCTTCTACCCTGTCAATTCGCTGAATTTATTACCTCTAGTATCTTTCTTGGGAGCTCTGGTAGCATAGTGGCTAAGGCACTTGACTGC